TAATTATGCAATTTAAACATGCAAATGATTACATTAATATTAAAATTTATTAAAAATCATTTTTCATTTATATATTAAAAAATCATTTATGTGAAATATATATATTTAATTTTCTAATAAATATTCATTGTTAACTTTCATTTCATACAAATAGCTCAATATTTCAATATATTTTAGGATAATTTTTGCCCATTTTAGGATGAAATGAGGTTTTTCAACCTTCACGGCATGTTAATATTTAACTAAAAATATTTAGTTCTGAAGTAGAAAATAGTTTGACTTCTGAACTAAAACGAAATCTAAAAAGGGACCATTCAAATATTGCGTCAGAAAATTAAAAACTCTCCTTCTTGCTTTTACTTTGACTATTATAGTAGTAATCTATTTTTAGAAGTAAATTTAAACAGAAAAAGTAAATTTTTATAGAACTAAATTTACATATTGATTTATTTTATTGAGTTTTGAGTGAAATATCCGTTCTTGTGCTTTTCTTCGGTTATCAAACGTCTTGACCTCTAAAATTCATTAAGTATTTTTTTCCCAAATTTTTCTTTCCCCAAATTTAACTCTTCAATTCCAATTTTATTTTATTTTAATTTTATAACCTACGTTGAACAGCCGACCCAATTTCGGGTTTACGACTACTAATGTTTAACTCCGTAATCTTGTAATTTTGAACCAATCCAGAAGACAAGGAAACTCCTGGATCAGTACCCCCAGAGGTTTGATTTGTCATAGGAACATGGAGGACTCAATAGATTTAACGTGCACCAGTCACCATTTACTACACGGGGCGTCTTCGACCCGGATCAAACCCACGACCTCTTGGATATGGGCCCAGTGCCCTACCAACCAAGCTCATACCTGCCAACTTTTAATCCCTTGCATTTTTATTTTTCACAGTGGTATTAAAATGGAATTAAAACTTCAATTTTATGCAAACAAATACGTTGTATTTGAGAAAACTTAAGTTGACAACCAGGATAATAACGCATATTAATATATGTGCTTAATTTTTGTAAGAATAGTGGTGATCAATATCATTTAAAAATTAAGATTATAAAAGAAAAAATAGCATATAATTACTACCACTTTAAATATTAAAATAAAATCTTCCGGAAAATCCGGAAGAGTTGGCAGGTATGCAAGCTATCCTGGCACCTTCAATTCCAATTATGAAATTCATTCCAAACTTAATATATTTTTATTTCAGCTTTTTGCATTTAAAAAATATGGAGGTTTTTGTGACTTACTTATATCCGCGATTGCCCAGGCAATGAACTGTCGCTATGAAGGACTGGGGCTCGATCATCGGAGGTGGTACCAAGCTTCGGATAGATGGGTACTATCTTGCGAGCGAACTAAAAGCGGTCGGTATGCAATGCTGATCACATTGTAACCATCATGACTGCTGATCACGAAATTGTGGACACTTAAATCTCCGTAACCATTGGTGCTGTTGTGGGAATGCTTTACTTTACTGTCTCACGCATGAACTGTTCTGTACCGTTGTAAGTGGCAATAAGCAAATCACAATCCCTTCCCTGAAGGCGCTTTTCTAATATTCGAAAGCCACAAATTACATATTTAGTAAGTTTTCTTTGAAGACAATGCGAGAGTTTTGTCTTTTTTAAATAGAATTATTACTTCGAAACCGTAATGAATTGTCGTTAAGTCAAGTTATACGTGCTACGAATTTTGCTCTCGACAAATTGTGTCTGTGACGAATTGTCTCAATGGCAAGTTGTACCCTAGATGAATTGTCGCTTCGACGAATCGTCTCTGTGGCAGCCACGGTTGCTCAGGGGCTTGAAGCTTTCGGGTTCGTTATTGAGGTGAATCGGGTTCGAATCACAGCGATGACTGACAGACGATACGAATTCCGTACCCGAATCACACCGACCACAGTGTTGACGTAAAATATCCTAAGTGGTAGACGGGTTATGGGTTAGTCTACTTGCCGTCAGACTGACAGTGGGATATTTTCGCGAATTTCTTCTCCACGTAACGCAAATTCTGGTTAGTTCCATCGAAAAGTCCTCTAAGGAAGCAAATTTCTTCCAATACTTGATCCAAGAGTTCTTTGTCTTCTGGATTGGGTTCAAAATTGCAAGTCTACGGAGTTGAGCAGTAGTAGCTGTAAACCCAAAATTGGGTCGTCTGTTCAACCGCGGTTATAAAAAAAAANAAAAAAAAAAAAAAAAAAAAAAAAAAAAAAAAAAAAAAATCGTCTATACTCGACGAATTATGCCTGCGATAAATTGTTGCAACCACAAGGTGCTAAATTCTTTGAACAGAAATTAAAGAAAAAACTGTTGTGGTTTGCCCAGAGAATGCCCTAAGAACTACACTCTAAATTGGCCCTTTTTTTTGGCGAGCCACTGCCCGACCGGATTGTCGCAAAAATTTGGAGACTATCTTGGATTTTATTTTCTAACCGTCTTTGAACAGCCGACCCAATAATGCCTTACGACTACTACGAGCCTAGTAATTTTGAACCCAATCCATAAGACGCAGGAACTCCTGGATCAAATATTGGGAGAAATTTACCTTCTTGGATCACTTTTTAATGGAACTAACCAGCATTGGCGTTACATGGAGAGGAAAACCGCTGAAACCTCCATTTCAGCGGTTCTATAGCATTCTTAGTTAAGCATTCTATTAATTTGTCCACGTATTTCTTTCTCCTGACCTTTTCCATTTCATTTTAAACTTCTTCTGCGCATTATAATAGGGGGCATTGGTTTTTCAGTTTTTAGTGTTTTCTTTTTCTCTACTTGCTTTTGAAGTTGATGCTTGACCTGTGACTTAGTGAGTTTTTATTTTTCTGATGATTTTGATTGATTTTCTTTTCTTAATTTGTTAATTATTTTGAATGTATCTTGTTTTTCCTGGACCTCTATACAGAACCATCGGGGTACTGAGGGAGATATTTTGAGCATTTGCTTCTCCCTCAATTAGAAATGGTTTTGTTTTTAATGGCTACCGAGGCCGGTACCCCCTGAAGACGTCGGCTTCGGTGGTCATATTTTTATTTTTATTTCATTCGTTTCTTGTATTCTGAATCCATGTTATGGTGCATTTATTTTTGCATGCTTTCAAAGTATTCCGAAGTCGCAACTTATAACTTTATTTTTTACTCTCGAGATTAATTTCCTTTATGTCTCAAAGTGAAGACGATGCCTTAAAAATTACACGAAAAATGTCACTGGTATTATTAAGGAGCCATTGCTTATCGATTTTTTTACTTGAGTTAGAACAAGAAATACTAAACACAATAAAAAAAATATTTCCGTAAGCTGCGGAATTTAAAAAAAAGTTATGGGTGATTTCGGAACATGGTCAACCAATTAATACAAAATTTAAAAGCGTTTTTTCGTATAGTTTTTTTTTTTTTGTTAGCGTGTTTTTTGTATTTTTAAGAATTTTTTATCTATTGAAACTAGAATTTTGAAGTGAATTTTTTTACTACGAGCATTATATAGTTAATAAAACTGAGCACTGAGTAGGCGTAATAAAAAGTTTTGAAACTTTTTACTGTATACCTGTTCAGATGATTTTTTCTTTGATATTAACTAAAGACCACTGAAATTGGCCTTTCTTATGCTGATTTGCTCTTAACAAATCAATTGCGAAATAAAGAATTTTGACGTTTGTTTCGCTGTAGAAAAAAAAAAAAATAGTGCGTGGAGTCCCTCCGCGCGGAAGAAGTTAAACTTCGCAACCTGCGACGTTAATTGTAGAAGAATCAGCAGTCGTAGAAGGATCACTAGTTCTATTCAACGACTCTTTTTCCTGCTCCGCTCGCTTCCGTGCTCTGTAATCAGGGTAATATTGTGCATTTTTCCCTCGTAGACCTCTTGAACCAGTGGAAGTGCTTGTGGTTGCCTCAACGTCTCGCCCTGGAAAATGTATTAATAATGTATGTGAATGCGTCATAATGTAATTTCAGAAAAGAAAACCTAACAATCAATTGATATTCACAAGAGACGTACCTTGACTTGACCTTAAATCCGTCGCATTGCCCGTGGGATTGTTTTCACTCATTTTTTACAATTGTTATCCACTAAATTTGAAAATAAAAAATACTACCCTATTAAATTATATGTGTATCAAAACAAACTAAAAATTTATTTACAGAAAAACAATACTTTTATTATTTTTATGCTAGTGAGAACCAAAACAGTATGGAAATGAATGAGGGAAAACTAGATCCTACCACGTGATTTCCCGGCCAATAAAAATGTAGCGTTAAACGTTTAACGCAACCTTGTTGGAAGTCGCATAAGAAGTATAACTTCAAAAAAATCGTCTGCAAGAAACAATATTAATTATTCTTTCATAAGTTTCTTCAAACGCGAACAAAAAGCGTTATTTAAATATGATGCAACTCTCTACATTAATTCGAAACAAAGAACAATGGTTTTTATTCAATAAGTTTTGTTCTTCTTATTTTACACCATTTAGGAAAACAAACAAAAAGATGGTTGAGCACAACGTCATTACAAGAGTTGGCGATGTTGATACACGTTCGTGCTGGGAGCGTGGCATCCATTTAGTGTGCAGTTAGGTGCAAACATTCTCTCTCTATGGAGAAAATGGTTTTTTTCTTAAAAGAATATAACTTTACAAAGTGCTCTATACTCTTTATTGATAAAATAGGCATCTCATAGTTGCGTGATTTCCTTACTTTTCACTGGACTTACTTACCTTGGAGAAGTAAGGAGTGGTAATACACTTGCGTGCGAAAAGCAAGATTTGCTAAAACCATAGTAATGGAGAGGGGGTAAATGTGGAGAGTGGTGAAATCGCGTAATCTTGTGACGCCTATTTTATTTAAAAAGAATATATTTATAGAATGTGTTCTAATTTATAATAAAAAGAAGAGTTTCTGTGGGTATCTCTCTTATAGTTCCAAAATCGTTTGAGCTAGTGTCCTGCATTGTGGGCATAGGGTGCTAGGGTAAATTCATTTTTAATGTTTGATTAGACGTACTTAATTGAAATTTTTATTCATAGTTCAGTATCTCATCCTTCCAAAGTGGCAAAAGAGCCATTCCTTCTGTCTTTGATTCGAAGTATTCTTTCATTCTTTGATTCTGTTGGCGGTTGAAATAATTCCTCCAATCGCCAACAATTCCTTTTCTCATCATTTGAGGCTTCTCGTTTTTTGTTTCGTTCTTTCGTTGACCTGTTGAGTTGTTCAAGTACTGCTGCATGAACGGATCCTCCTCAACTAAAGATTTCATGAAATTGAAGGAGGAGTACTGCAGCACATCTGGAATAGATAATCAAAATTTTATACTGACATCTAAACTTAGATCTTCAGATCAAATGTACAAATAATAGTTGCTTTTCATACAAATAAATCGTTAGTTTTAGTGATCGAACATACCTATAAAAAAGTGAAAAAACCAATTTTGCATAGCCAAAGCGGAAAAAGGAACCAATTTTGGGTGTGACTTAAATCGAATTCTTGGCCATAGATGGCGCCACTAACTGTTTTACGATGACAACTTGGGCAGCACAATCCATTTCAGGGTCAGGGAAATAAAAATCATAGCACAGTTGTTATTTGTCTTTTGATACGTAACCATATTTGATAGCATAGAAAATAACGATGTCGGTGAGTTTTTAAATCTGGACATAATTTTATAACCGTCGTTAAGCAGCCGACATAAGTTTTAGGTTTACGACTACTAAGATTCTACTCCGTAGCATTTTATATCCGTCGTTGAACAGCCGACCCAATTTAGGGTATAGGACTACTTAAGTTCAACTCCGTAGCCTTGTTATTTTGAACAAATCCAGAAAACAAGGAAAATCTTGGATCAGTACCCCCAGAGGTATTGATTCGTTATGGGAACATGGAGGACTCAGCGATTTGACAGATTTAACATGCATCAGTCACCATTTACTACATGGCGAGTTTTCGGCCGGAGGGGATAGAATCCACGAACTCTTAGGCATGGGTTCAGTGCCCTACCAATCAGGCTATCCCGGGCTTACTCCGTTGCATTTTATTTTATAATCGTCTTTGAACAGCCGACAGAATTTTTGAGTTTACGACTACTTATGTTCAGCTCCGTAGCCTTGTAATTTTGAACCTAATCTAGAAAACGAGGCAACAACTGGATCAAATATTGGGAGAAATTTGCCTTCGTGGAGGACTTTTTGAAGGAACTAACGCGCCTTTGTGTTACATGGAGAAGGAAAACCTCGAAAACCTTCCACAGTTAGCCTGACGGCAAGGGGACTCTAACCCGTGATCCGTCTACCCCTGAGGATATTTTTACTTCAGCACTGTGATCCATGGAAGCCGGGTGCGGAATTCGTATCGACCAGCCATCGCTGGGATTTGAACCCGGTTCACATCATTAGAAGGCGATTTCTCTACATCCTGAGCCACCACGACTCCGAATCAAGCATTGAACATTTTGCTTTAAGTTGCCATTGCGATAATTTAGTAGAAAAAATTGCCGATCTACATCCATAGGTTGAAATCACCGGTCACCAAAATAAAATTTATTTAATCACTGTGCAATCGCCCATTTTTCGCCGAAGGTGTATGAACGCGCATGTTTCAAACGCGTTATTTCAATTTCTTAAAATTATTGCATGGGAAAACTGTGCTCATCTTTGGAATGTTAGGTTATTATTAAGGCCCGGATTTTGATGACATTTGCATTTTTATGCATTTTTTGCATTTTCTGACATTTTTTGTCTTTTAGAACATTTTTTTAGATTTATAGGGCATTTTTCTTTAAATTTTGGGGCGTATTTTGCATTTTTTAAAGTTTTTTGTTAATTTTTTCCAATTTTGACTATTTTTTTTTATCAATTTTCATTATTACACTGGCTTCCAAACAATGAAGAAAATCTATAGAATATTAACAGCTGAAGCAAAATATTTTCAAATTGAAGAAGAATTGTCAGTAAGTGAGACCGTCTTTTTCAAGTACGCACCTATAACATCAGTAGACGTTGAAAGAAGCTTCTGCAGGAATGAAAATTTACTTTCAGACAAGAGACACTTACTTACATTTCAAATTATCAAAAAACATTTAATAATCCAATGTAAGTCTGATATTTAGTAATATTATGAGATGGAAGTTGTTATATCCATTAAAGTTTCTATACAAAATAAAAATATTTTGGTGTCAATATATTTTCCTTTTTTTGTTATTTTAGGATATAAAACATATTTTTTAAACTTTAATGAACGTAGAACAAACAAGTATTGCATTGCTTTATATTTTTTAAATGACTCATAATAATTTTAAAGACCGAAATATTTTTTTAATTCAATATTTTTACTTTATTTAAGGCATTTTTTGCGCAATTTTTGCATTTTTAAGGGCATTTTTGGTCCTTTTTAAGGTCCCGCAGTGGACTGATCGTTAAGACACGGTTCCCAGCAGATCACCGAAGTCAAGCATCACTGGCTGCGGTCAGTGTGCGGGTGGGTGACCACTTGGATCAGTCTGCGTAGGGACCNGATATAAAACATATTTTTAAAACTTTAATGAACGTAGAACAAGTATTGCATTGCTTTATATTTTTTAAATGACTCATAATAATTTTAAAGACCGAAATATTTTTTTAATTCAATATTTTTACTTTATTTAAGGCATTTTTTGCGCAATTTTTGCATTTTTAAGGGCATTTTTGGTCCTTTTTAAGGGCATTTTTTGCACTTTTTAAGGGCATTAGTTGAGATTTTTTAGGTCATCAAAATCCGGGCTCTAGTTATTATACACTGGTTACAAATTTCAGGGGGGGGGGAGGACTGAATCTGGTTATCTCTCAAGTTCATATTAATTTCAAAGTTCATATTAACTTTCATTTACGGCCAATAACTTTTCAAAGTAGCTTAATCAGTATAATTTCATGATTATGATTAAAATAACTATCTCAGATTTATTTAATGAACATATTTTATGTTTGTAAATAAACATAAATTTAATGTTGCATTATTGGTTCAAAAGCTCAAACCCTAAACTTTTATTAAGTGAATGCGTTAAATATACATTTAATTTTCTGCATAAGTTTGCTTGGAGAGGTCAGAAAAGTTTTCTTTTATTTTAGAAGTAAACTGTTTAGTGTTTACCAATTTTTTTAGCAACGTTTCACACCAATTGTTTGTTTTAATAGTTTACAGTTTTTAAAAAAGTGGTTACTGTTAAAAATGCTACAACTTTGGTAGATGGCGAATAGCAATCCCTATATCACTATTACCGCGAATAACCAAAATCAAGAGAATGTAGACTTTCTCTCGTGAATGTCAACGATCACATGCCCGATTTGGTGAATGTCCGAAATATATCCGATTTGATATTAATGTATTCGTTGATATTATCATATAGATAGATTAGGAGAAACATCAGTGTTCGGAGTACCGTGTAAATGCATACTAGGCAGTGGCACTTGACCTTAAAAAAACACTGATGTAGGGCCTATCTTGCAGTGACTCTGAATCTTAAAAAAAACCCATTGATGTAGAGAATACTTGGCAAATGTATACCGAGTACTTAACAAGATCTGGTATACACCGAAGAGCCATTACATTATGACCACCCTGCTAATAACATGTAGGACCACCTTTAGCCCTCAAAACTGCTAGGACCCGCCGTGGCATTGATTCCACAAGTTGCTGATAGGTAGTCTGAGGTATCTGGTACCAAGCGCTCACCAACTGGTGCTGCAATTCCCTCACATTGCGAGGGGGTAGCGTGGCAGCACGAATTTGGTTTTCCAAGTAGGGCCCACAAATGCTCTATTGGATTAAGGCCAGGTGAATTTGGGGGCCAAGACATGGCTTAAAAGTCACTGGAATGTTCCTCGAACCAATCCATGACGATTCGACCCTTATGACATGGTGCATTATCCTGTTGGTAAGCACCATCCCCGCAGGAAAAACTGTTGCCATGAATGGGGGAACCTGGTCTGCAACTACATGTTCAAGTAGCTTACAGACGTCAGAGATTGTTCTATGAGGATTATGGGTCCTAATGTGTCCCATGAAAGCATTGTTCCTGGGCGAGAAACCATGAAAACCTGGGCGAGCCCATCGTTATAGATGGTTGGTGGGTGATCATAATGTAATGGCTGTTCGGTGTATATTTCTGACATTTATCAAAGCTACTTTGTGATTGTCAACATTCGCCGGTGGAAATCAACAACCACCGATTTCGATCATTGACAGTAACATTACCACCTTTTTCGAAACCTTAAAAACAGAAACGAGGAATCGGTGGTTTAATCGGAAGTGAAATGTTCCGAGGTATGCTGACAAAACCCTTACTTTCAATGATTTCTTCGTTTATTGTTTGCAGTCCCAGGAATGAAGCTATTTCCAAGATAGACGCTCTTCGGTTCTCTGTGAGGGATTCATATGTGATGAACAGAACGTTCTTCAGGTGTCTCTTTTCGTACCAACTGTAAACGAGGTCAACGTAATCACCATAGGGCATTTCACCACTGATGAAAGCATCAAAGAAATCATCGAAACTTTCGATGTGGTATCCTGGCAGTTTCTAAAAGAGAACAACAGAAACATGTAATGACCATAAATGTTACTTGCGAAATGGGATTAAATTAATAATTCACTTTACGTTTGCAGAAATTCTATCACATTCGATTAGTTTCGGTTCTGATCGTTTCCTCGTAAAAGGGCCAAAAGGGGAAAGAAAAACAATTACAGTCGGACTTCTATTTAACGAACTTTCATTTTGCGATTTTTTTCGAGGACCAAGAACATTTTGGAAATTTCTTCGTAAAATAACTTCCAAATAGCGAAGTTCTTATTTAACGAACTTTTCTTTGAGATCCACTTTTCTTATCTCCCAAAATATTTAGGAACGTTTCAAATCTGTTAACACATTTTATGGGAAAAAATGACCTTGAATTAATTTTTGGAGCCAATTAACTTTTAGAGAAAGTAGTAAAGTCTGTTTCTCTTTTTGTCAGCATTTTAAGCAAAAAACTCAGACAAAATTAATGGATTTTATCAGTAGTAATCAAACTTAAGAACGCATGTGGTCATGTATGTTTAAAATTTATGTAACATGATAGTGTAACACTGAATAATGTTTTACTCTATTCTTGCTTTCGTGCGGATTTCTTTTATGGTTAAGATTTATAAAATAAATAGTAGATACTAGTTTTAAGATAAAGGAGCATCCATTGCTGTTTTAATTATGTCTAGCGTCTATGAATTGAAAACCTGTTTTGTGTTGCTTAAGTATTTCAAAATGTGATTTTCTATTTAACGAATTTTCCATATAACGAGCTTATTACCGGGATTTAGCGAGTTCGTTAACTAGAGGTCCGACTGTGTTACACATTGGTAACAGGTCGCTGTTAACGCTTACCTCATTTTTATCACACAACTAGATTCGACAGCTATGAAAAGCTTTGGAGGTAAAAAATTGACTTATCAAAACAATGGTTTGCAAAAATTTAAATTTTTTTTTTTGTTTTTGATTGTAAAATTTTTAATTTACTTCAAACTATAGAAGTAGCCTCAAAATAAGGTACAAGCTATCTTTCAAGAGCAAAATTATCCGCAAGTACGGAAGTAATTGGTTGACGGTAGCAAGTAAAATACGGAACACATAGTCTGTCTGGTAATTCCACTCGCCATTTGTCTGGAGCGGTGATGATGGTTCCGAGGTTTAGCTATTTTAATTAGGGTTGTTGGGTCAATATTTAAGACAGCTTTTGGCTCTGGTCGGCTGCTATTTCGTAACTTATTCTTCTATAAGAACAAATTTTGTCATAGATTTTTTTAAAAAAAGTTTTTAAAGAAAGAAACTTCGAACGTGATGTTGTACCTTCGATCGAATGTTGTTAATTGGACGATAGGTTGTGACCACTTGAATCAAACTCTTAAGATCATTTCTATTAAACTTCTTAAAGTTGAAATTTGCTTTCGGAGTAATAAATTTGTTAGTTATCAACGTTATACCGAAGAATATTTTACAGAATTATTTCAAACAGTTATAGCTTTGCTAGGAACGTAAAACTTTTTACATTCTTAGAGTGGCATATTCTATGGGGAAATGTATTTCTGCTAATTGGATCTGTTGTATATACCTTCGACTGGTCAAAAGTACAATACAGAGACTTATGTAAAATACACCAAGCATACATTTTTTTATAGTGTTAGGCTTAATATAACTAAATTATTTTTCTTAAAAAATTACTCAGCAACTGTAAACTTGAAGGGAAAAAAAAGAATTCTCCAACTTTTGCCTAGAAAACCTGAGGTAATCATCAACACTTGTTGTTGATAGTACCCGTCGTTACAGTTATTAACTACAAAGATTGAAAAAAAAATTATTTACTGGAGGCGCAAATTATTGCAATTGAAGGTACAACAACTCCCTAACTGTTAAAAATTTCTCCAATCTAGACTGAGGAGGTGAACAGCATAAAGTGCCAATATAACCACCATCAAATTTCTTGAACCTTGACTGAAAGAGTTTAACTACAAAAATAACTAATGTAAGTGCCCTCTAAGTGCTTCGACCAAGGCTAACGAAGTGAATAGCATGAAGTGCTAATGTAACTAGCCTTTAATTTCTTCAATCCCGACTGAAGGCGGGGCAGACTAAAAAGAGCTAACGTAAATACCCTCAGAATACTTCAACCTAGATCGAAGAGGTTAGAGGACGGCATAAAGACCTAATGCAAAACAGACCTTTAAGAAGTTATAGTATGAGACGCATGCATCTTTTGGATTTCTTGCGACGTGGATATATCTGGCATCTTCACTGTACTTCATCAACCTGAAGGGAAGGTGGTACTTCAAAGCATAGATATCCTTTTGTGGTACATCCGACGGAAATCCGTCCTGTTCGGGAAAAGGTATGGATGATATCACTTCAGATATGCTGTTCGCTGCCTTGCCATTTCTCAACAGAAGGTAGACAATGTGCTGCATCCACGTGGTGCCACACTTGGGATAGGATACGATAAATATTTGTCCATCCCTTGGAGAGTATTCTGAAGCATCCGAGAAGAATTCTTCATTTGCACCCAGCGGAATGTGAAATTCTCGAAAAAGTTTGTAAGGGAGGCCTTTGCCCATGTTATCTGGAAATTGAAATGGAAAAATATGAATGTTGTAACTAAACACTTAATAACAGATCTAACTGCATGTAGAATTGTAAAAGTTTCTGTCACCTAGAAAAAAAGAAGTGAAACAAAGCTATAATTTTAAACTGTATAAAGAATTATCTCTGGCTTTTGAAACGAACCAGAAGATTAATGTTTTGGTTATTAAACATTTTTAAAATCTCTCCGGTTTTAATATTTGCACATTATGTGTTTAATTTATGAACCTTTGGAGTATGAATGGAGCTCAACAAAATGCAAAAATGGGCCAACAAAAATGCAACAACCGATAAAAATGTTCTTCTGTAACTGCCGTCCAATTTTCAATAACAATTGTAATAGCACTCTTGCAGTTTAATTTTTTATATTATTTTTAGTCTTCTTCCATTGCTTGTGGTTTTCTAAAAATCGAATACTTCCTTTGAATTCCAGTTTATACATTTTGCGAACCATAATTCATCTTAGAGATAGATGGTTTGTTTGAATTATAATTTCCCTCTCGTTTTTCTTATTTATTTATTCTTACCCATTGGCAAAAAAGGTCTTGTTTTGGGTTTGATGGCATGCGTGCCTTATTTGGACTTCATCTCACTTTACAACTGTGTTCAAGAGTAATAATAAACAGTGCCCATGCGTTGTCATTGCATGCGTTGCTATAGCGACCGCTGCTGTTTAATAATTTTTTTTACAATTCTTTTTTTCTTTCTATTTTCACCAGCAGTCATTCTTAATGTATTGCCATAATAATAATTTAAAGTATTTTTATATTCTTTCTATTATTAACTTATAATTACTGTCTTGACGGTGATTTCAATATAAATGTGAATACTGAAGAAGGAAAAGTACTTTGTGACATCTTGAAACACGCATATAGCTCAGGATTTGAAAACCAATCCGGAGACAAACATCAATTGAGACATTTTTTGCCACCCACGATTTGAAATGTTATGGCGCTTATCGGAGTCAAACCAGAAAAAAAATGCAATTGACCAATGGGTAACCAGTGATCGTAATAAAGTGATCGTAATTTTATTTTTATTGTTTAGCTGGAATTCGGTACACTTATTGTAAAATTATTTGCAATTAGGTTAGTTATTTTATTATTATTTTTATCTGATTTATGATACATTAAAAAAAATAGAAATCAGATAGGTAGTAGTAAAATATATTTCTTTCATAATATAAGCTGCACACCAGAAATAAGATTTTTTTTATTTCAAGGCCGCTAAAGCTGATATGGAAAATTTTCACATTTGAGTAATTGAAGGAAATATTTATTTTTATTTTTTTATTATTATTTTCAAAATTTAATTCAACGTAATTTTCTTTAAATTTTTTAAACCCAGTGGGGGAGCAACGTTCAATGAAAAATAGAATGGTGGAAGAAAAATTACGAAATTTTCCTGAAAATTTCTGGTTTAACCTACTCTGTAAAAACTGTAGAGAATATCTCACCGAATATGATGCTGAACAACCCAAAATAATGTGTCAAAGGGTGTTATTTAAATCAAAATACTTATAATTGATTAATGTTACACCTAACTCTCACGCTTTTGTACCATGAGAGAATTATTTTCTCTTCCGAAAACAACGCTGGCGTGCTTTGGATATCAGGAAACGCCTAGTGGAACATCGTCAGAAATTTGTTCACTATCTGAAATGAACTGGAGGGAGTTAGCTGCCATTTTCGATGCTGCTATTCATCAGTAGAAGCAGAAATTCACCGTTAAATATGTATGACTCAGGGCTCGAAAAACAGCCCGTCCGCCCGTCCTCGATGGTCTCCGCGGACAACGAATTTCTGGAATCCGACGTCCGCGCGGACGGCCATTTTCTCGTTAATGTTCGTGATACATTTTCAATTTTTGCTATCTTACAAGAGTTTTGTAAGTTACAAGGCAGCAAAATGACCCACAATACAGCAACATACTAGGCATATATTGATGTTTTCTCTGTCTGGGAGTACTGCAGCGGTTGAAAGGGGCTTTGTAGCAATAAACTTACAAAAAAACACAATACGTACTGGTCTTAAACAAGAAGCTTTAATAGCAATTATGAATATCTACCTAAATGGAAAACCCCTTTCAGATTTCTGTTCAGAAACCTCTGCAAATCATTGGCTTGATCTTGGAACTGGCAAACGTCATATTTGATTCATTTAAAAAACGCAGTACCCTCGGATAACTTGACATTCCAGATAACTTGACCCTTGTCATTTAAATTATTTCATAAAAAAAAAATACTAGTTTACTATTAGTAACCTAGTATTTCTTTTATTACTGTATAATGTAATCCTAGTAACGAATTCATTGTGCAATTTATATAAATGCTTGTAATAAATAGGAGAAAATTATATTTTTATTTATTTAAGAGCAACGGGTTAGTTTCAACGGAGGACGGGTGCATTATTGGACAAGCCGTCCTCCGGAACGGGTAAAATTTCTGAGTTTTTTCGAGACTTGGTATGACTGTTTTTAGTTGCGTAATAAGAATAATTCTACTTTAATTTTTAAGTCTCTGAGAACTATTTTTATAATATATATTTCTCATCCGCTTCCGTTTTGTTAAGCCTAGTTTAAATTCATTTTAAAATTCTCTCTGTGCTATGCGTAGAAGTGATTTACAAACTAATTATATTTTAAGAAGTAGTGTGAACAGTGCGGAAAAAAGTAAAATGGACCACTCTGAATAACTTTTGATTCTAAAAATCGGATTTTCACGTTCTAGGACTCAATATTAATGGTTCGAGCGGGTGACCTCAAATATCCAAATTAATAAGTGCAGACAATATTTTAAGTTACAAAATCAGACACAAAAACGTACTTTTTCTGAATAAACGTACCGTTTTTTCGACGGATTCAGATTTCTGATCCCCAAAATATAGGAATAGTTTGATCAAGAGAGCACATTAAGTTTGGACAACTTAATGTTCATTTTACATCTTGTGTATTTCACTATATCTCGAGAACTTTTTAAGCGAATTGAAAAATGTTTGCACTTAATTAAAAAAAAAATTTATCCAAAGAAAAGTCCATTTAAACATTGAAATTTACTAAATAATTTTTTTAAATTATTTTATTTAAGAATGGTCAAATAATTTTTGAATTGTAAGGCATAAATTTGTTTGCATCATTTTAAAGAATGTAATTTTATTATTTAAAAATTGAATACTGAGATAAATTATTTATGTATATTATTAGAATTAGATCTTAATAGAATAATCAGGAAAAGGTTTGGAGTGGGAAATAGGGGCACAAGCATAAGCAAACAGAACAAGCATAAGCAAACAGAACTCTTTATAGTACATGCATTTTAAGTGAATAGTCTCAACTTTCGCAGAAAAAAATATTTCTCGCTAAGATACAAAAATTATTGCGGAGCAATCATCGGGGTGGGTGAGCGGTCGCGAACAGGGACTCAGACTCATTATTTATATGAAGAGAGAGATAGTGTGTTAAGAATCAATTAGAAAAACTATTTTTTATCTGTTCTTTTTAAAAGCGTCATGATTTATTCTTAGTTTGTCGGTTAAAATCACTCGTTAGAAGTAGTAATAAACAAAACAGTTTACTACTGCTGTAAGTAAACAAATGTAAGCCAATATCTCATTCAAGACCATTTTGAACATAGGTCTGAATTAAGTTCTCCAAATCGTTCGTCTCCTTAAAGTAGTGAAGTAGTCACTACATTTAAAAAAATAGTTTCTTTTTATTTTTCGTATTTTATTTTATAACCGTCGTTGAACAGCCGATTCAATTTTCTTTTGGGTTTGCAACTACTAATGTTCAACTCCGTAACGTTGTAATTTTGAACCCAATTCAGAAGACAAAGGAATTCCATACCTGAATCAAGTATTGGGAGAAATGTGCCTTCGTGGAGGACATTTTGATGGAACTAACCTGCATTTGCGTTACCGTAAGAGGGAAACCACGAATTCCTTCCACGCGTAAGTTAATGGCAAGGGGAATCTAACCCATGCTCCGTCTTCCACTGAGGATATTTTACGTGAGCATTGTGGTCGGTGTGAGACGGTTGCGGAATTCGTATCGACCAGTTATCGCTGGGATTCGAACCCGGTTCACCTCATTGGAAGGCGAAAGCTCAATCCTCTGAGCCACCAAGACTCTTTATAGACGATAGAGTTTCATAACAGTTGTTGAACAGACGACCCAATTTTTTTCGGGGTTTACAACTGCTAATGTTCAACTCCGTAACCTTGTAATTTTAAGCCCAATCCAGAAGACAAAAGAATTCCTGAATCAAGTATTGGGAGAAATGTGCCTTCCTGGAGGACTTTCTAATGGAACTAACCGCATTTGCGTTACATGAAGAGGGAAATCAAGAAAACCTCCCACGATTAGCCTGACGGCAAAGGGACCCATGATCCGTTTATCACCGAGGATATTTACATCAGCACTGTGGTCGGCGTAAGCCAGTTGCGGAATTCGTATCGACCAGCCATCGCTGGGTGTCGAACCCGGTTCACCTCATTGGAATACGAATGCTCTATCTCCTGAGCCATCACGACTCAAAAAAAAGTAGTTATAATTAATTACATTTGTAACTGAATAGTTAAATTGTAGTAAACTACAAAAATATTGTAGATTTGCCTACCACTGGGCTTGTCGAGCTACAAAGAATTACAGACAAACTTTTTTGGATGATATATATTTCATTTGAGAAAAAAAAGAAGGAAAAAAAGAAAGGATAAGAAAGAAATAAGACAGACAGTTTAATATTCTAAACAAAATATGTATATCTTACCCAATTCCTGACAGTTGTTTACTATACCGATTAGAGAGGAATTGTATTTAAAAAGAAGATCTGACGGAGGTCCTTTTATACGTCATATAGATGAGAATTGGCCTCGTTATTATTTTTCATTATCATCAGTAATGAATAAGCTCCTCCTTTCTTATCTTCAAATCTCCTCTTTTGCACTTTTTGTTATTTTTTGTATTATCTCGCTTCAAAGTGAGACAGTTATCTTGACTTCAAGGTATATAATTCTTCAGCCTGTGAGTGTGTGTGTGTTTTCTTAATCTTTATTGATTCTAACACCGGCTTAGAAAAGCCTGCTTTAAAAGAAAAAAAAAAGCTTACAAAGAAAAGTTTCAAAGCTAAACTCTTAGAATTCAAGAAAAATCTTAAAAGAATTGATAGGAAATCCTTAGCCTAAAAATTAGCTGCTAAATTAGAGCGACTAAACTGTAAAAAAAGGAACAAAAATTAGCATTTCTAACGCTAAATGCGAGAATCCAACGAGAAACCCCTATTTCCGAAATCAAGACTCCAAATTTTCGATTTTCAATTTGTTGAAAAGTGATTTTTATATTAAAAAGTATCTGAAACGGGATTAAAGGACGGGCAGAAACTAAGAAATAAACATTTGTATGTTTTACAACCGTCGTTGAACTGCCGATCCAATTTTAGGTTTACGAATACCATTGTTCAACTCCTTAGCTTTGTAGTTTCGAACCCAATCCAGAAGACAAGGGAACTCCTTGATCAAGTATGAAGAGAAATTTGCCTTCGTGGAGGACTTTAATGGAACTAACCCGCATTTGCGTTACATGGAGAGGAAGACCACGAGTACCACCCACGGTTATCTTGACGACAAGGGGACTCTGATCCATGATCCATCTACCACTGAGAATATTTCGCTTCAGCACTGTGGTCGGTGCAAGCCGGATGCGGAATTCGTATCGACCAGTCGTCGCTGGGATTCGAAACACGTTCACCTCATTGGAAGGCGAGCGCTCTATACCCTGGAAGTCTTTAATGGAACTAACCCGTATTTACGTTACATGGAGAGGAAAACTACGAAAACTTAGACACTATTATTAGAAAAGTATTATTAGATAGTATAAAGTTAAGATAATTCAGGTAAGTAAAGTGCCTGTTTAAACGCGTATTCTATTATAGTAAAGCGCTGTTTGTGGCGTATGTTGGCGATTCCGGTTATGGCTTATTACACAGTTCTCAATGTGATCTACCCTCCTTCCAAGCTTATAATCGCCCTACCGAACCTCCCCCTCCTTTCGTACAATATTGAGTGCGACGATCTTGACGATACAAAGTCCAAATCTGGTGGGAAATAGATGTTGTTGCATATGTCTGTTTATGCAGAGGGGTACGATTGTTCTTGTTTTCCAGTGGCGCCATCTATGACCAAGAATTTGATTTCTGCCACACCTATCCATCACACCCGTTTATCGGGCGGACCCATTCACACATCCAATAATTCATCCACAGATCGTAATTTTGACCTTAATCAGAGAACGATCTATCTCCAATCCAGTACTCCCAGAGGTATTGATTTCTTATGGGAACATGGAGGACTTCGCAACTCGACAGATTTAACGTGCATCAGTCGCCATTTACTACACTGGGAATCTTCGGCCGGCGGGGTTCGAACCCACGAACTCTCGGACCTGGACCCAGCGCCTACCGACCAGGCTATCCCGGCCCTTGTGAAATAAATAGGTATTCAAAGAAAATATGTTTTCGTGTTACTTAATTTACTCGCAAAATAAAAAATAAAATAAAATAAGAATAATAAAACAAAAATTATCGAATAAAATAATATAAAAATAATGACGTAATAATAAATGAAATATTAACTTACGTCGCAGTATCTTTAATGGTAATTCGATCAGTGTCATGAAGAAAAAAAAAAATGGAGCATTGATTTTCATCTGAATTTTTAACTATTCTGTTCTTTTCCTTCACAAAAACATCCTTTTTCATTTTGTCTCACATTAGATTCGTTCTTCTTATTCTTATATTTAACTTATTTTTTTTTCGTGTTATTCTTTTTCTTTTTATTATTCTGTTACTCACATAAACTATGATTTTAATTGTTTCTTTTTTTCAGCGCATTTCTTACATTTCTTTCCCGCTCTAATATTAATTTTAGTTCTCATATAATTTTTTAGTTGTCACTTGACTTTGTTAAAAAAACACCAGCCCTGACTGTGAAATTTAAAATTATTAATTTTATTTATTATTATCATTTTTTTTAAATGTCTTGAAAGGAAACGCAACTTTTGGCGAATTTCAATTTTTGCCTTGGAATGTTATGTTTCTCAAAATTTTCAGTTCTTCTCAACCATCGACTTTTTAACAATCGCAAGAATAATATCTGATGCTTGGTTCTTATCTAAATCTTAGCTATTTTAAAGAAATATTTGTTTTTATACAAATTATAAGCTAATAATAGTTTTCCAACCGCAAAACAAAAGTTCAGGTGATAGAGGAAAGGTCATATTGACTCAAAAGTAATAATTATCAGCGTCAAAATAATGTTTTTCCTGGTTGGCAGTGCGAGTCATTTTGTATGGAAGTTATATATTATGTATGTGTTACTGTGAATGACCGAAATCGGTGGTTGTTGACTTTCACCGGTGAATGTTGACAATCACACAGTCGCTTTGGTGAATGTCCGAAATATTTATTACATCCGATTTGATATTAATTTATTCGTGGATATAATTATACATTTATTCGATATTTTAATACTTACTGACGATAGATTAGAAGAAACATCAGTGGTTGGAGTACCAGGCAAATATATACCGGGAAATGGCACTTAACTAGATCTAGTATTTATCTCAGACATTTACCAAAGGTCTAGTCATACTACTGCCCGGTATATAGTCCCGGTATATAGTCATACTACTGCCTAGTATATATATTAAGTGCCACTGCCCGGTATACATTTGCCCGGTATATCCTACACTGATGTTTTTTTAAGGTTCAGTGCCACTGCCCGGTATACATTTGCCGATACTTCAAATACTGATGTTTCTTCTAATCTATCGTCAGTAAGTATTAAAAGTATTGGATGTAACAAATATTTCGGACATTCACCAAAGCGACTATGTGATTGTTGACATTCACCGGTGAAAGTCAACAGTCTCCAAATTTCGGTCATTCACAGTAACATATGTATATAATTGTATATATATGTATATAATTTTTTTTTTTAAATTAAGGAAAATTGACAAAACATTTGGGCATATTTAATATTTATTAGAACAAAAAATTATCAAAAGGAGTGCAGCGAAATTTTTTTTTCCAACTAATATTTTTCGTAATAAAGCAACGTCTATCTGCGCTAAAATCTGCCTTTAATTTTGAATTGTCATTCATTTAAAGGCAATGATACAATGTTTTAATTAAAAACACATTGTTCGATCTAATGATGATTTTTATATAAAACAATATTTTCCAGCTAAATCAAATGACTGTTATATTTTTTTTTGATTCGCAATTGTGTAAATTGTGTCTTATTCTCGTACGCCAGGCGTGATATGCGAAGATACGACATAATTGACACTTTGTGCGGTGGCATGACGACCTTAAATTAATCTTCATTATAAAGCAAATCGATAGTGTCGAAACTGAAACGAGGTTTCGAATTTTATACAACTTGAAAATTAACAAACTTTTTAAATGTTCGTAAATGCTTTCAAAACTACAGGGGTTATCAAATTTTTCGGAACCCTAAATTTTGTTTGGAACCCTAAGTGATTACTTCTCTTTCAGTGGAATCCCGATTTAATAAATAAAATTCATTAGCAATTGTGACTGTATTTAAAAGGGATTCTGCTATTTATTTTAAATGGACTACTAATCGTCTGGAAAGAGTCGCGGTGGCTCAGAGGGTTGAGCGTTCGCCTTCCAATGAGGCGAACCGGGTTCGAATCCCAGCGATGGCTGGTCGATGCGAATTTCGCAACCGTCTCGCACCGACCACAATGCTGACGTAAAATAACCTCAGAGGAAGACTGATCATGAGTTAGAGTCCTCTTGCCGTTAACTTGGAAGGTATTCGTGGTTTTCCTCTCCATGTAACGCAATACGGTTTAGTTCAACACCTCCTAGAATAAGGAAGGCCTCAGCACGGATTAATTTAGTAGTCCGATGTGACGAAGTTAACTGCGCAGTTGATGCAAAATAAGAAAGATGTCATTACGTTCAGCTGCGCAGTGGTTGAAAATACGGCATATGTCATTACGTTTGGACTACTAAAGGATATTTATGGTAACCCGTGCAGAGGCCTACTCTTTTCTAGGAGGTGTTGTTTAGTTCCATCAAAAGATACACCACGAAGGCAAATTTTTCCTAATACTCGATAGTTCCCTTGTCTTCTGGATTGAGTTCAAAATTACAAGACTAAAGATTAGAACATTAGTAATCTTAAACCCAAAAATTGGGTTGGCTGTTCAATGACGGTTTTAATATTAAATAAAATCATCTAGAAAGTACTTAATCTGAAGAAAGATTTTTTTTCCTTCGTTTTAAAATGAATTTAACGTCAGACATTTGAATTTGCTGGGCTGACGGAGTGGCATCTAGTCTAGTTCTGGATTTGTTTTTTCGTGTATGCATAAGCTAAAATGAATAATAATAATAATAATAAAAAACTCAATTATGTTTTTTGTTGAAATGAAAGCGATAAAGAACTGTTATAAACGATAGAAATGGCCATGAGGAAAACACATTTCGTTATTGATGAATTCAGTTTTAATTTAGAAGTTTGATCGAAAATACCAATATAAATTTTTATAAATTGGTTTATTCATTGTATAACTATTTAGATCAGAATAACTATATTTTTCTAATCTAGAACAACTATATAGAATCTTGAACTTTATTATTTTTCTTCACTGACCTTTTACTGCAGTAATTTCTTAAAAATAAACTAAAATAATTGAATTATTTATTAAATATAATTAAAATTGTAGATTTAAAAAATCCTATCTGGTTAAAATAAGTCTAACTCGCGGAATCCTGTAATCCAGAGTTTCCCAAACTTATGACTTTTGTGTACCCTTTCTAAATTTTTCGTTACGTTGTGTACCCCTAATAAAAAAAATGAATGTATTTT